CAGGTACTTCCAAGTAGGTTTCCTGAAACATCACTGCCTGGAGTGTTGTCGAATCTTCAGGGATCGACTAATGCAGCAACATGCCGTTTTGGGATGTGGGCTTTTGTAAAGGGGATGCTTTTATGTCAAGAGAACAGAGGGAGATTTTCTAAATTGGAAGGTCGTGAATCCAAGTTGGAATGGTTAAAGCATGAAATGGATGAGAAATGAGTTAGAGGCACTTGTATGTTAAGTTGCCTGATATTATTTTATATATGGTTTAGTTTAGACTTGTGTGGTGCTGAATTTGGAATTTGGATAATTACCTTATGCTTGACTGTCATTTAGGTAATTGTTGTATGTTGACTGCTGTGGTATAATTATGATATGTTTGGCTGTTTTTGTGTTCCTATTGTTTGAACAGTTTTGGGAAACTCTTCTTAGCAGAAGTATCAAAATATTAAGTATAGATTTTAGGACAAACTACAAAACCCCTAGAGTATGGGGTCAATTTTAATTTGATACTCATTTTGTAAGACATTTACAATTCCATACTCAAACTCTTAAAAACCCTACAAATTGACCTCTTTGTTGCATAACTCAAAACCATTTGATCCTTATAAACACACACACACAACCCAAAAATTGACAACTATCCTATTATACATATTTTACATTCCGGTTATGACCTTTTACATCAAATTTTGAGAAACAAACCCAAAACTCACCAGCTTGGATATGATTTTCTTTAAAATTACGGTATTGTCCTCCTAACCCTGTCAAGCTCATCTACTGCACTTGCACTGTTCATTAAATTTTTTATACTTTTTATTTATTTATTATTTATTTCATCAAGTGAGATTTTCATTACAACGCCAGAAAATGCACCGGAACACAAACAGAAGCAAGCCACCGAAAGAACAAAATACAATCACAAATCAGCTCAGTGCTCATACTAGCCTATGAAAAAAAAAACACAAAAAACTGGAGAAGAATATAATATCTTACAAACCATTACAAAAAATAATACACAAATATAGCAAGCAATCCAAATTAAACTTATGAAATTAAAGATTACAACCCATCCAAATTAAACCTTGCAAAAAATCTGTTGCATCCATTCTTCCAAAAGCCTCAACAAAGCAACCTACACAACACTTAAAAGAATTAACACAAAGTTTCACCATCAAAAAATCATAATTAAAATAAGATGCATGAAAAATACCTTCCAACATATCTTCATCACACTAAGAAGGGAGAGTCTTATTCAAATTTGTCATGGATGTTTTACTCCCCATTTGTACAAAATATATAATCAAACCAATTCGAGTCAGAACACATAAAAATAAGAAAATAATCGGATTCAAATATACTTATAGAAATTAAAATATTACCCATTTCAATTGATTCAGAGAACTCCATCTCCTCAATGCTTGGCACATATTACAATGAAGATATATCTTCGGACCTTATCCAATTTTGAGTGCAAATCAAAGCATCAACCATTCTAGGAGACAATAAGCTTTGAAACGAGTCAATCACTCTCCCACTTGTGCTAAAACAAGACTCTGAAGCTATTGTGGAACTAGGGATTGCAAGCACATCCTTTGCAATTGATGCCAAAGTAGGATACTTGAGCCCATTTATTCTCCACCACCCTAGTATATCAAACTCCTCATCAATGGATTCAAGTGGATCCAACAAGTACCTATCCACTTCATGTGTTATAACCACCTTCTCACTTTCTTGTTGAATTTTTTCCACTTTTCCATCATGGTTTTTCGTTTATGACCTCTAAAAACCAAAGAAGACTCGGTTTCATTGTTAGTACTACCACCACTCTCATTGGTAGTAGCACCCATATTGTTACTACTTGACTTATACACTTCATACATATTCAAAAGAAGTTGTTTCACCTCATTTATCTTTTGAGCCACCAATCTACCACAAGTAGGATTATTTTCAAATATTTCATCAAAGATGTGCTTCAAATTATGAAGCTTGAATCGTGGGTCAATCACAACTCCTATCATCAAGAACGGGTTCACTTTATGAAGTTCACCCCAATATTTATCATATTTCTTCTTCATTGATGTTGCCATATCATTTAAAAGAGTATCCATGGCTGTCCGTTCTTTAATAGGAATTGTAACTTCATATCTATACAACTCCTGAATCTCCCTATCTATGGCAAGCAAGTCATGAAAGGTTGTGTGTGATGTTGGATGCAAAGAAGATGAAATTTTCTAGGTAACATCATAGAAGGTCTTCAAAAACATCACAAATGTCACGGCTTTTTCCCAATCTTCATTACTAGGTGGACCCACCCTCTTATTAGTCTTAGACTTTCCCTTCCCTTTCCCACTTCCTTCAATGCCTTCAATTCTCTCGTCATCTCCTTCATCTTCCTTGAAGTACATTAAGTAGGAAGTCGATGAAGCAGTATGTGCGCGCCGCCCACTGCCCTCAGGTCTTTGGCATAGAGGAGGATCGGTGCCGAAAGCTGCCGAAGGTGGGATGGGAGCCCATCACATTTTGTAAAGAAGAGGAGGAGGGGATCATCTACCCCCACGACGACCCAATGATCATTCGGGCAGAGATCACCGACTACGATGTGGGTTGGGTGCTGATTGACACCGGAAGCTAGGTGAACGTGATCTTTGCTGATGCGTTCAAGGGACTGGGGATTGCCGACAGCATGGTCAACCGGCAAATCACCCCTCTCCTCAGTTTTTCTGGAGATCTGGTCCAACCAGTCGGTAGCATCAGTCTGCCCATCGCCTTTGGCGTCGCCCCCAGGAAAACCATGGCCTATGATCAATTCCTTATTGTTGACTGCCCAACGGCATACAACGTTATCATAGGGCGAACGGCACTCACCAAGGTCAAAGCCCACTTATCTCCACACATGTTGCTGATGAAGTTCCCGACACGCAACGGTACCGGAGCCATCCTGGGCGATAGCTCAGTGCACGGACGTGCTATGCCACGGCCCTTAAGTCAGTAGCCAGCAAACCGCCAATGGAAGCCATGACCTTGCAGGGACTACCGAACGGTAACGAACTTATTGACGACCCCAGGGAGGAAAACCCAACGCCGATGGCACAGCCCGCCGAGGAGCTCGAGACCATAATCCTAAACGAGGAATTCCCCGATCGGTGGGTGAAGATCGGCACTAATCTGGACCCCGACCTCCGAAGACAGTTCGTCGACTTCTTACGACAGCATGCGGAAGTCTTCGCCTGGTCTTATGACGATATGCCCGGCATATCACCTGATGTCATCAGCCACAAGCTCAGCATCTCCCCCGCCCACAAACCGGTCAGGCAAAAGCGCCGATCGTACGATGCCGAACGGTATGAGGCGATGCGTGCCGAAGTTGACAAGCTCAAAGCCATCGGCTTTATTAGGGAAGCTACGTACCCTGTTTGGCTTGCCAACTCGGTCATGGTCCGAAAGGCCAGGGGAGGGTGGCGAATGTGTCAGGACTATACCGACCTGAATAAGGCGTGCCCGAAGGACAGTTTCCCCTTACCGAGGATCGACCAGCTCGTCGCTGCCACC